CCCACCTTCCTCTCCTCTCTCTTTTCCTCCTTCCCCCTTTCTCTCCCCACTCCTTTCAGTCCTCCCTACCTTGTTTCTGTATCTTCTTTCTCCTTTCAGTTTCTCCCTATATGATAGCTCCTTCCAATCTTCCTACCAAGTCATTTCCCCCTAATCTTAACAAAGCTTTTCCTTAATTCTGCCCCTATCCAGGGACCGTCCTATTTCATTTCCTCTCTACAACTTTATCCTATGTATGCCTGATACCTCGATTTTACCGCCCACTTTCCTTAACCTCTTACAGTTTAGTTACCATGAGAGAATTTTCCTGGTCTTCCTCAGTGCTAGAGGTCTTTGAGATTACCTTCAGTTTATTCTGCATGGCTCTTGTTCAGGTACATAGTTGTTAGCATGTTCTCTCTCCCATTAGATGATGCATTCCTCAATGGCGGGGTTTGTTTTTTTACCTTTCCCTGTATCCCCAAAGCTTACCGTGGTGCCTGGCACATAATAAGCACTAAATAAATACTTTTTGACTGAAGCGGAGTTGAGGTCATTGGAGTTGAGGAATGGTGTTGTTAGAAAAGTCACCTTCATGACTAATGAAGTCCGCAAGGAAAAGTAGGAAGCAGCAAGTACTTATGTAATTGAGAAAGTTGGAGAGTGAGTGACCTGGAGGCCGATAGAGGACAGCGTTGTGGATGCAGAGAGTGGTGTAAATGGACCTCGAGTGAGGAGTCATTAAGACGTGTTGGAAGAAGGATGGTGAAGTATCAGAGTCCGAGGACATTGGGCCACTAAGCATTCCAGCAGCCATGCCCGAGAGAATAGGGAAGGGCTATTGTGGAGGTGTCAAGCTTGGATTCACTGCCCCTCCTTTGCGGAACATCTGTTCCCCTGCAAGACTTCACATATGATCAAGGAACACAACCTCTCAGAGAAAATCACTCAGGTCACCAGACACTCCCGGCTGTATCGGCCTGTCACGCAGGGTTTTCATCAGAGGGAGGCTAGGCAGCGCAGTGAAGAGATCACAGGCCTGGAGTCAGGAAGACCTGAAGTTAAATCTGGCTTCCAACACTAGTCGTTTTGTCCTGGGCAAGTCACTTCACCTCTGGTTGCCTCAATTTCCTCATTTGTAAAAGGGGATGACAGCACCTAGCTCCTAGCGTTGTTGTGAGGATCCAGTGAGATAATATTTGTAAGCACCTTAGCACAATTCCTGGTACATAGTAGGCAGCTAATAAATGCTTATTCCCTTCCCCCTTTTGTCCTCACTCCAGAGGACATAGCCCTGCACTGAAGGGTCATCTTAGAAACACTGACCATAATAAGCCTGGACCAACACTTCTAATAATCATCCTCAGAGGGGGTGGAGATAGGCTAGCGCAGTTGTCTGTTTTTGGCAACAGCTCATGCCAGCTTTAAAATACCATGATTGCTATAACTTCTGAATGCTAACCTGTTTTACCCCTTAAGGATTTTCCCCCTGACTTTGTTCCATCATGCTAGAATGTATCTTATCCCTAGTGCAGGGTCTGGCTTCAGACCCCGAGATAGTGGTTTCAAGAGTAAGTTCAAGTGTAACTGAGGCATTGTGAAAAAGGCAGTTTGGTATAGGAAGGGAACAAATATTAAGTGCCTCCTTTGTGCCAGGTCATGACCTAAGTGCTTTACAAATATCTCTTTTGATCTTCATAGCAGCCCTGGGAGGTAGGTAGGCAGGTACTACAATAGTGGGAAAAGCCCTGGGCTTGTCAGACAAGACTGGGTTTGAAATACTGTCTGTAATGCTAGCTTTGTGACCACATGGAACCTCTCTGAGCCTCAATTTCCTTGTCTATAAAATGCATATAATATTATTTCCAAGACAACACTTCATGGGGTTGTTGTGAGGAAAAGTGCTTTATTTAGCCCTCTACACATTTGTGAGTTATTGAAATGAGACCATTATAATCCTTTACAGAATAAAGCTGAGAATAGTTTGACAGCTTTTGATTGTCCAAGAGGTTTTCAAAAATCAATTTAAATCGACACACTACTTGAGTTAGAAAATAAATTTTAAAAACTGAAATCATTTGAGGGTATGGTAGTGCCTGCCTATAATTCCT